AAATAAATAAATAAATAAATAAGTAAGTAAGTAAGTAAGTAAATAAATAAATAAAATCTTTAAAAAATATCTTCTTGGAATACTAGCCAATAGGATCCAACAGTACATTAAAAGGATTATTCACCATGACCAAGTGGGATTTATCCCTGGGCTGCAAGGTTGGTTCAACATCCGCAAATCAATCAATGTGATACAGTACATTAACAAAAGAAAGAACAAGAATCATATGATCCTCTCAATAGATGCAGAAAAAGCTTTTGACAAAGTACAGCATCCTTTCTTGATCAAAACTCTTCAGAGTATAGGGATAGAGGGTACATACCTCAATATCATAAAAGCCATCTATGAAAAACCTACAGCAAATATTATTCTCAATGGGGAAAAACTGAGAGCTTTCCCACTAAGGTCAGGAACGCAGCAGGGATGTCCACTATCACCACTGCTATTCAACATAGTATTGGAAGTCCTAGCCACAGCAATCAGACAACAAAAAGAAATCAAAGGCATCCAAATTGGCAAAGAAGAAGTCAAACTCTCACTCTTTGCAGATGATATGATACTTTATATGGAAAACCCCAAAGACTCCACCCCAAAACTGCTAGAACTCATACAGGAATTCAGCAAAGTGGCAGGATATAAAATCAATGCCCAGAAGTCAGTGGCATTCCTATACACCAATAACAAGACAGAAGAAAGAGAAATTAAGGAGTCGATCCCATTTACAATTGCACCCCAAACCATAAGATACCTAGGAATAAATCTAACCAAAGAGACAAAGGATCTGTACTCAGAAAACTATAAAATACTCATGAAAGAAATTGAGGAAGACACAAAGAAATGGAAAAACGTTCTATGCTCATGGATTGGAAGAACAAATATTGTGAAGATGTCAATGCTACCTAGAGCAATCTACACATTCAATGCAATCCCCATCAAAATACCATCCACTTTTTTCAAGAAATGGAACAAATAATCCTAAAATTTGTATGGAACCAGAAAAGACCCCGCATAGCCAGAGGAATATTGAAAAAGAAAAGCAAAGCCGGTGGCATCACAATTCCGGACTTCAAGCTCTATTACAAAGCTGTCATCATCAAGACAGCATGGTACTGGCACAAAAACAGACACATAGATCAATGGAACAGAATAGAGAGCCCAGAAATGGACCCTCAACTCTATGGTCAACTAATCTTTGACAAAGCAGGAAAGAATGTCCAATGGAACAAAGACAGTCTCTTCAACAAATGGTGTTGGGAAAATTGGACAGCCACATGCAGAAGAATGAAACTGGACCATTTCCTTACACCACACACAAAAATAGACTCCAAATGGTTGAAAGACCTCAATGTGAGACAGGAGTCCATCAAAATCCTAAAGGAGAACACAGGCAGCAACCTCTTTGACCTCAGCTGAAGCAACTTCTTCCTAGAAACATCACCAAAGGCAAGGGAAGCAAGGGCAAAAATGAACTATTGGGACTTCATCAAGATAAAAAGCTTTTGCAAAGCAAAGGAAACAGTTAACAAAACCAAAAGACAACCGACAGAATGGGAGAAGATATTTGCAAATGACATATCAGATAAAGGGCTAGTATCCAAAATCTATAAAGAACTCATCAAACTCAACACCCAAAGAACAAAGAATCCAATCAAGAAATGGGCAGAAGACATGAACAGACATTTTTCCAAAGAAGACATCCAAATGGCCAACAGACACATGAAAAAGTGCTCAATATCGCTCGGCATCAGGGAAATCCAAATCAAAACCTCAATGAGATACCACCTCACACCAGTCAGAATGGCTAAAATTAACAAGTCAGGAAACGACAGATGTTGGCGGGGATGTGGAGAAAGGGGAACCCTCCTACACTGTTGGTGGGAATGCAAGCTGGTGCAGCCACTCTGGAAAACTGTATGGAGGTTCCTCAAAAAGTTGAAAATAGAGCTACCATATGATCCAGCAGTTGCACTGCTGGGTATTTACCCCAAAGATACAAAAGTAGGGATCCGAAGGGGTACGTGCACCCCGCTGTTTATAGCAGCAATGTCCACAATAGCCAAACTGTGGAAAGAGCCAAGATGTCCATCGACAGATGAATGGATAAAGAAGATGTGGTATATATATACAATGGAATATTATGCAGCCATCAAAAGGAATGAGATCTTGCCATTTGCAATGACGTGGATGGAACTGGAGGGTATTATGTTGAGTGAAATAAATCAAAAAGAGAAAGACATGTATCATATGATCTCACTGATATGAGGAATTCTTAATCGCAGGAAACAAACTGAGGGTTGTTGGAGTGGGGGGTGGGGTGGGAGGGATGGGGGGACTGGGTGATAGACACTGGGGAGGGTATGTGCTCTGGTAAGCGCTGTGAATTGTGCAAGACTGTTGAATCTCAGATCTGTACCTCTGAAACAAATAATGCAATATATGTTAAGAAAAAAAAAAAGAAGAAGAAGAAGAAGGTAGCGGGAGGGGAAGAATGAAGCGGGGGACATCGGAGGGGTAGACGAACCATGAGAGACGCTGGACTCTGAGAGACAAGCAGGGTTTTAGAGGGGAGGGGGGTGGGAGGATGGGTTGGCCTGGTGGCGGGTGTTGAGGAGGGCACATTCTGCATGGAGCACTGGGTGTTGTGCACAAACAATGAATCATGGAACACTTCATCTAAAACTAATGTTGTAATGTATGGGGATTAACATAAGAATAAAAAAAAATATCTTCTTGGAGAGTCTCAGAAGATTCATACGCTGGTTGAAAATGGTTGAAATGTTATTTTAGTTAACAAATTTAACTAAAAACTTAAACCAACATCAAAGTTCTGTGAATTGGCTATTAACCAAACATGTGTTCAGTCAGCAATTAGAATTTGAGTAAAATAATTCTATTCTTTCTATTTTTATAAAAGTCGGATACTTTTATTCTTGTTCCTATTCTTCCCCTATGTTTATTTGCCTGCCAGAGCATTACCCCCACATTAGCCAGAGCGTTACCCCCACATTATCCCCACATTAACAACTGACTCCGGGTCTTGCATCAAAGACTAAATTATGACTCATTTCTTATGTTGAACTTTTAAAAACTTTTCATGCTTGTAACTTGTTATTATTATATAACATCCAGATTCTAAACCTACTGTGAGCATAGAGTGGAGGGATCTGCTGTAGAAAATGATTACGGGGGGAGGTGCCTGGGTGGCTCAGTCGTTAAGCGTCTGCCTTCGGGTCAGGTCATGATCCTAGGATCCTGGGATCAAGCCCCGCATCAGGCTCCCTGCTCTGCTGGAGGCCTGCTTCTCCCTCTCCCACTCCCCCTGCTTATGTTCCCTCTCTCGCTGTGTCTCTCTCTGTCAAATAAATAAATAAAATCTTAACCAAAAAAAAAGAAAGAAAATGATTACGGGGGACTTTTCTGTGAAAAATGATTGAGTTTCACGCAAAATCTAGTTCTTAACTACTTGTGATCTACTAGTCACTCTGCTGGGCAGGATATTTTACTAGAAAGATGGGCTGGGGCTGACTAAGCTCACACATTTCAATCAGTGAAGAACTTTAAGCTGGAGAGATGCATTTTGAGGATAGTACGATATAAATACTGACATTTTATCCAAAGAATACAATTGTAATATGTAACTATACGCTATAATTGTTTGTTACTTAAAAACAACTATTAATGTCTGATGAATTTTATTAGTTGTTTTTATTAATTGTTACTATATAATGGTCTTAGATATTCTGAAGTAAAATATTTGATATGCCTCTCCAATATTTTCTCTTTCACAAAAATCAAAGTCTGCTCTTTTCTGGGAAACAAGGTTGCTGAGCTATCACAGATCACTAGTTTGCCCTTATTAGTCTACCATTATCATATACCGTTAGGAAATTTCCTTGATCTGATTTCTGAATTCCTCGGTGACTTTATTTTAAAGGTACATCTTATGTTTACAGTTTGACCTTTAGGTTAGGCTGACCTTTTTACAGGAAATCTCTCTTTAGGACCACACACTGCTTTGCAAATGTTAAAATTTGTCAGAAAGAAATTTCCTGCACTGAAAAGGGTCTTCAGAATTGTAGGACAGCTTTCCACTATCATTATCTAAATGCTCATGTATTACAAACACTCTATCTCTCTCTCTCTCTCACACACACACATATTCTGCTTCTAGAATCCTAGAACTTTTTTAAACTGGGAAAGTCTTTAGAAATCAACTTTCCAACTTCCTAATTTTCCTGACAGTAAATGGAACCCTAAGATGCTAGGTTGATTTGATTGGCAGTATAGATACCAAATCTGTAAAACCCTGACTTTCTGGTACTCAAATGCTTTGTTGGTATTACTGACATGATGATATAAACGATATATTTTTATTAATCTGATTTAACTGTCAACAAATAAAAGAAAAAGTCAAAACTGAATGTCTTTGGTCATAGAGTTGGGCAGTCTTCTAAGATAAGGAAACCCAAATGTTTGGCCCCCAAAGACCCACATCCGTGTTTTAAATAGCTGTCTTACTCGACCCCCACACCGACTCCACCTACACCTCGTGGAGTTACAGGAGAAATCTGACCATTTGTTCACTTGAAGGAGAGAGGGAGCCGCATAGGGCAAGTTGTATGCCTAGAAGGTTTGGTCTGTAGCTGCCACTCAGGGCGGTGTGTGGACCCAGCATCCTCACAGTATTTCTTCAGCTTCAGGATACACAGGACTCCAACCCTCTCACACCCGCTATGCCTCTTGGGATCTTGGATCTATTGCTCCAAAGCAGACACGCATCCGGCCTGTCACCACTATGCTCTACTGCACTCTGACAAAGTTAAACGGCAGCAACTCTCTGTCACCTCAGGGGAGGCTTTGTCATGAATATTGATTAGTTAAAAGGGCATTTCTGCCATCTGGCTGGCAGATGAAGAGTAAAGATCAATACTTCTCATCCTTCAGCTTCAAGGATTAGAAAAGAAAGGTGGTGAGGCGGGGAAGGAGGGAGAACTATTTACCTTATCAAGATGGTTGTAGAAATCAATGTTTGCTGCACAGAGATATCTCCCAAGCAGTGTGGCATGAGTGGTAAATATTGTAGCAATGGGAAGTTTCCGAGCTCGAGAAAGGATCAGTCCAGTTCCCGCCTGCCATTCATGGAATTGGGCAATGACATGTTTCCCATCTGCATGATCTGTCACCTACATCAGAAAAGAAGCATTTAGAACAGTTGTTGGTAAAGCTTGATCTTGATCATGGCCCACAGCTTAAGGAAAGTTATCGTTCGTGCCTGTAAATTTTAGCAAAATCTAAAGAGAGGTAAGCATGAAGCATGAAGATTTAGCAAGCAGAATTGTTTTATAGGACTTAGTTGCATGTTCATAAAGCCCATATATTTGTATGGCATAATCCTCCCTTTCAGGAATGGATCAGATTTACTTTTGTATCTACAGAGAGGCCTCAGAACAAATGCACAGTAGGCACTCCATAAATATTCATCGAACGGATGAAGGAATAATAGCGATAATATCCTTGAAGATACCACTGAGCAGCTGAATCAATGGGGACTACCCACTTACAAGCTTCTTTTGAAATAAACAATCCATGACTTCATGTTTTAAGTCAGTCTTATTTGGATCTTCTGTAATTGGAGCCAAAAGCACTTTAACATTATTTTAAGAATATGGAACTGGACGGAAGGAGGTGAATAACTGGCTTGGAAGCAAATCCTAATTTAGTAACATGCTGAGGATCCAGGTCTAATCCCAGTCTAGTTCTAAAACTAGGCAGGGCCTCAGTTTCCTTGCCTTAAAGTTACCTTGTTTCACCCTTACAGAAATTTAATATTTACATTCCACTCCCCTTATGACTGCCTGTTTCCTCAATGGGGGAGTAGAATTGATCATGCAAAACACGTGCATTCGAGGAGCCTGAGCAGAGGACTGGGAAATCGAGAGTTCACCCAAGAAGGCAGTTCTCACACTTGGAGGACATCAGCGTCACCTGGAAGTCTGGTCATGCACAGATACCAGGGTCCCCATCACCAGGTAATCTAATTCTGGGCTAGGGACAAGAGTTTGCATGTCTTGCAAGTTTGCAGGCGATGCTGCTGTTGGTGGTCCATGGAAATACTCTTTGAGAACCACTGACTTAGGCTAGGACCTTTGTAGTTTAAAGTACTCGTTCTTCAAAAAAAGCTCCTCATGGTAATTAACAGGTGCACAGATTGGTGGCGGCCAAGAGGTGACTGCAGAAACAGGGCTTGCCCAGCAGCCTTGGATTTTTGTCAATGTCTTTATTTACCCTTTGAATCAAAGAAAATTTCTGTTTCTGTAATAGCTTTACTTTAGAGAACACTGGGGCTTTCACTTTCTTGCTTCTCTCCTCTCTAGTTTCCTTTAACAGAAAGGATGAAAGCGCGAGCGCAGGGGCACGCGGGGGGGGGGGGGGGGGGCGCACACACACACACACACACACAGAGGCTGGCCTCAGCCCTGAGGGCCCTGGCTCAGGGAGGCAGTTTGCTGAGGAAGAATTGGTTCCACCAACTGATGCTAAAACAAGACTGCTTATTGTCATTAGGTCAGATCTCGTCAGCACCCTCACCCTGTTCTCCTAATTCTGTCGCCAACACAAAGCAATGGGACTGTCCCTCCACCTTCCCCTTCACTTCAAGGCAGCCTTTCATGGCTATTGGAATACGACTTTATCAGTAAGTAAGGCTGGTCAAGGAGATGCGCTGCCAACATACAGTTCTGTGATTTGTCCTTAGACTACCCTCCCACTTTGCTAAGGATGCTCTTCCTTCACCGTCTGATTTTTAAGTTAGGCATAATCATTTTGAGGTAATGCAAGGAATGCAAAGAAATCCTCCTTTGAGAACTGAGAGCGCAGGCTTGCTTCATTTCACAAGGATTGATATCTAATGCTCTTGGGGTATTTTGGGGTTTGGAGGGTTGTTTTTTTGGGGGGGGATATTTCACTGCTACAGATCCTCAGCAACTGCTGAGATCACTTCAGCCCTTAGAAAAATGATGAAAATATCTAAAAACCACTGCGGTTGCCCAAGTACTCATGCATAAACAAAACCAAGTATTTCAAGCTATTAGAATTTCTTCTGCCGTAAGTCTAGAATTCAGGTACATAGTGCATGATGTATACTGCTTTTTTACTTGTATATATCTTACCATCTAGTATCAGGCAATATAATTGGTTGTTTTATACACATCATTCTATTTAAATCTGACATGAGGTATATATTAATAAGCATGATTGTTAACCTGTTCTGAAAGCTAGGATTTAGTTAGAGGAAGGCTGAACATTTTCTCAGATTCTTTTGAAATGTATTAGGACAATCATGATGGCATCATCTCATTTAGTGTAATCTAAAAATCATGGGACCATTGCTGAGCACAGAGCACAATTATGCTCCTCCTCTGTTGCATGAGTATACAATAAACTGTACCTCTTTTAAGAACCAGGCAGTTAAAGATCCGAATATGAGCATATCGTTGGCTTCTCGGTCATGGTAAGGTATGCCAACACTGCATGCTTCCCAGAGGTCACCCTTCCACCTGTCCAGGTTCCAAGCAGAATAGCCTATGTCAAAGAGCACCACGTAAGGACTTCCTTCTATCAGCCATCTTCCAAAGTGCACCTGCCATATAAAGAACACAGAGCTTTGCAGTAATACCAGGCAATGCAAGGGAGAAAATGGTATCTGTGCTTAGAATATTTAAACTTTATTTAGAACTCAACAGCAGACTATCAAAGCTATATAGGAAACTGTAGTGGTAACACAAAGCATCTGATATTTGAGCCTGAACATGGAATGGGCTTGCATCCCTTCATCTAAACCTCCAAGTTCTTATCCTTCATTAAATTTGGTCATTTAAAAGTAAAGTATCTAGATAATGTAATCTCCATCCTTTTTTTTTTTTTTGAGAGAAAGAGTGAGAGAATGAGAGAGAGAGCACAAGCAGGGGGCAGAGGGAGAGGAAGAAGCAGGCTCCTGGCTGAGCAGGGAGCCTGACGCGGGACTCGATCCCAGAACTCTGGGATCATGACCTGAGCCAAAGGTGGATGCTTAGCCTACTGAGCCACCCAGCTGCCCCAATCTCTGTCCTTCTGTTTCTCATTCCCCTCCTGTGAACTTGAGCTCATGGTTTTCAGATTTAATATCATGGTCTATGTTTTTATGATAGAGTCATAAGATGAACTGCTCTGTATCTTTAATTTGTAGTTGGATATAATGTCTATAGTGTCTATATTTTAATTATGCAACAGGACTTCCTATAATATTTCACACTAGAAAAATTTGTTTCTATAAACAAATGTATATGATTTCTCTCATTCTTCCTATCAAAAAAAAAAAAAAGGTGACACAATGTGTTTCCCAACATGGTTGCTGCCAGGTGTCTTAACTAAATATATTGCTCAAGATACTTTATCTCTTTAATCTAGCAGCTCAAAGTCTAATCCTGTTACATTCTTCAAATTCAATTCTTTTATTCCTGTTTTATCTTGTACAAGTTTTAATGTATTAGCTATCTCATTTTTTCCCAATTGTAGTTATATAATCACTTGTATATCCAAATTTCAACTTTCTTTTTGGCCTCTATTTTTCTATAGTAATTTATCACTCTTTTGTCTTGACTTTTATTTTAGGTTTATTCTCCAATTACATGGTATGCAACTCCATAAATTACTTCAAACACTTCTTGGAAGTTGGCAAACCTGAGAGCCTCTCATAGCCTATCCAGACCTCTCTAGTAAACTGAATATGTCCACATTGCTTAGTTATTGACACTGTGACTCTACCCAAGGTTGAATTTGGGGAGCTTGAAAGCCCATTTGATCATCATTCTCTTCCATAGGACTCAGAAATGCATGGTGATATCTCTCCCATCTAGCCTTGGACAACTCTGAAAGACTCCCATTATCTGTTGGTTGCTTCCATTGTAATTAGTATTTATCATGGTACTCTTCCCTTTTCAGACTGAGTTTTCCTTTTCAATTGTTTTCTCTTTAGGACTTTCATTGATTTATGTATTCATTCAATGAATAGTTACTGACTGCCTAATATATGACATATGATACAGTGAGCTGAGATCACTAGAGAATGTAAGCTAGCTTGTTTTGACTTTCAGTGAGTTCTTGGCTCTGACATGGAAACATCTTACATCAGAAATCCATTTAGAACCTTGAGAACAGTCAGACCATTATGCTTTTCATCTCCCTCTTCTTTCATGAGAGCTTCAAATGCAAGCCCCTTCCAAAGTCTCAATCTTTCATCCAATAGTACAACATGCATCCCTCTTTCACTTTCCTATGTTCTCTATGCTACAGTCACTATGATAGATTTCCCTGTTGCCCTCTGGGACCTCAAGTTCCCTTCATTTAAATCTTCTGCATCTTAAGCCTTGCATAGACCTTGTAGACCCTGCTACTCACATGGACATCTCCATGAGGGCCTTTAATTTTTTCACCCCCAGAAACTATATTCCTGGGATGAGTATGAACGAAGTTTGGATTTTTTAAAATCACACTGAAACTTATTATTTGTGTGTAAAGACATTTTTGAAATTTATGTTATCCAAATACACTACGTTTCCTTGTTCTATTAATCATCTGGCTACTTTTCCACCTTTTTCTGGGCAACTTCAAAATCCAAGTTTTTATCCTACACACTTAGCCTCATATTTTTCTGACTTTACTGACTTCAAAGAACTTCATGTCCATGGCATTCCAGCTACACAAGCTCATGGCTGCATTGTTATCCTTGTCAAAACCCAAACTGTTCCTTCTCTGAAATGTTCAGCCTGAGCATTTTGTTACTTGACTACATTTATACCTCCACTTCCCTCACTCTGTTTCTCCCAGCATATATATTCCGTTCTTTCTCATCAAGACCTCCAGTTTCTGGAACCTTCCATTTTTTCCTACATCATCACCTCCTTTCTGGCTTTGCTTCCTTTCCTACCCATTTCAGACACAACTGTCCATCAATTCAACCATTAATTCAGTCAGTCACATAATCATACTTAATTATCCTTTTTCTTCATAGAAGAAACTTCTATGCCACAACTTCTGGACCCTTTTCCTCACCATTCACTCATTCCTCAATCTGATTTAACCCCCTTCTCCCTTGAGGCTGTATTTGGCAAGATTACCATGAATGGCCTGAATATTGCTAAACCCAACTGACCTTGGTTAAATTCTTTCATTGACTTAATCCCTCCTTCATACTAGAAACTCTCTCCTCCCTTGTTTTGACCTATTGCTATTGTGATGGCAACAGATTAAGCCACAAACCTAGTGGCTTAAAAAAACACAAATTTGTGATCTTTCAGGTTTGGGAGTCAGTAATATGAAATGGGTCTTTGGGGTTAAAATCAACATGTTGGCAGAGTCACAGTCCATCTGTAGGCTCTAGGGGAATCTGTTTCCTGGTCTTTCCCAGCTTCTAGAGGTAACCTGCATTCCTTGGCTTGTGGCCTCTTCCTCCATCTTCAAAGCTCATCAGACCAACCTCTGCTTCCATTGGCACATCTTCTTTCTAATTCTAACTCTACTGCCTCTCTTTTATAAGGACCCCAGTGGTTACATTGGGCCCACCTAGATAATCCAGGATAATCTCCCCACCTCATGATCCAAATCTACAAAATCCTTTTGTTATATAAGCTAACATATTCACAGGTTCTGAGGATTAGGATTTGCACACCCTTGGTTCTACATCACTAGCTGTATTTGTACTTGTGTAACCTCTGAGTTTTGTTTTGTTTTGTTTTATTTTGTTTTGTTTAATGTAGATGTTCTAACATGTTGACATTCCCAAAGGTTTGGCTCAAAACATTTGCTCTTAGTCTATAAACTTCTGCTTAACACTGTTATCAACACTTATAATGTCAACTACAATTTAAACACAAATGACTTTCCCCCAAACATCTTTATCCTCTATCTTCTGCTGAGCTCCAAACCTATTATCCTATTAGACATTTCCCAATGGTTTTCACAAGGTGCCTCAAATATAACCTGTTTACAATCAAATTCATCATCTTTCTCACAAACCTGCTCCTTTTCCCTAAGTAGATAGTCTCCTGTGAGTTCATATAAATGGTGGTCTGTTCTCCCATAACAGGTTACTAGTGTTGCTGAGTGAAGTGTCAGTCTGTCCCTTACCTGGCAGCCATGTTTATTCATTGTGTCCACTGCCCTTCTAACAGCATCATTTATAGGTTCACACTGTTCCACCTGAGTCTTCATATTATGCTCAAAATATGGGCCAATCAGAAAATAATTGTCTCCCCATTCTTCTGCTGTGGTTTTGGCCTTTGTCTGAATCACAGTATAGATGCCACCAACTGTTAAAAAGAAAAGGTTCCATTTATCATTCAGGTTAGCATTTCATTGTAAGTGATGAAGGCATGGAAATGCGTTCTCATTTTTAAATTAGCATTTAGGATTTATCAAGCACAAGGGTTTATTTAATTTTCTAAAAGAAAATTTCTAAAGGACACTAACAAATAATTACTATTTGGTTCAATTCATGCATATTTTAAAGCCTTTTCTGGGTGCATTTCATAGAGCAGCAGGTTGGCGGCAGCCAAGAAATACAAACATTTCAAGGAAATCTGAAGAGATGATCGGAATAAAGCAGAACTTGGCCTAAAGCTCTGTCTACACCGAAGTGTCAATGTTGGTTCCAACAGCCATTGTCAGGACACACACCCTCAGCAACTGCAGTTACTTTTTACCCCTTCTCCTACACTGCTCCAAGATGGGGGCTAGGGTATGTCCAAGTAACAGCCACTGTGGAAATTATGAGTGAATCTTCCAAGTTTAAGAGCCACTTACCTTGCAAGGTACCCAACAAGGTACGTTTTGACAAGAGAAAAGAGGTGATAGGTTTTGAAGGGGGATGCTTGGCCCAACCCTAAAGTCAAGCCCAATGACTCACATACAAATTTTCATGTGCTCTTTCATTTTCCCCTCTGGCATTGCTGTCATGACTATTAAAATACAGAGCCAAAAAATATGTACACTCTTGGAATATATGCACATTTTTGGATCAGCGTGTCTACATCTAGGAAATTGTTTGGGGAAATAAGAGTGCCAAAAGATATGTGTATTAGGATATTTATGGAAGCATTATAATGGTGAAAAATTAGGAACAACTTAAACTGAACTAGTTAACTCAACCTGTCAAAGGCTCAATTAGCTCATCTGTTCAGTGGGGATAAAATATTACTTAGCTTGGGGCAAAGGGCAGGTTGTAGCAGCAGTTCAAAGACTAGGGCTGGGAGCACCTGGGTGGCTTAAGTGGCTGCCTTCGGCTCAGGTCATGATCCCGAGGTCCTGGGATCGAGCCCCACATCAGGCTCCCAGCTCAGCAGGGAGATTGTTTCTCCCTCTCCTCCCTGCTTGTGCTCTCTCTCACTACCTCTGTCTCTCTCTCAAATAAATAAATAAAATCCTAAAAAAAAAAAAAAAAAAAAAAAGCCCAGGGCTCATTGAAAAGGTAGTATTTGAGTAAGTACATAAAAGGGTGAAGAAATTAGGCCAGCAGCTATTATAGAGAAGAACTTTTTAGGCAAAGAGTAGAGTTAGAGCCAAGGCCCTAAGTTGAGAGCACTGCATGCAAGGGGAGAGTAATAGGCATTCAAAAGGAAAGGTTTGAGATGCAGCAACTAGGCAGGAGGAATAGGGAGGACCAAGGGGAAGAAGAGCTTCAGTAAACTTAGGCAGGATATCTTGTGCTGGCTCTAAGCAATCATCTTGTATGAGAATATGAAAGCAGTTTGAATCAATTTCTTGAGTAATACTCTGTCCATGAGCTATAGGTGAGGAAACAACTCAAGAAATGCCGTGTGAAATCCCAGAGCCAACACAGATCCTGGCACCAATCTTCAGCTCTATTTTCTAGTGATTTTATTACTTGTATATTTTTTTTAAAAAGGCCTATTTTTACTTCAGTTTTGCAAAAGTTATTTCAATTCATCAGGATATAGGGTTCGATAGCAATTGAATCTCTTAAATTGTTTCAGTAATTTAGACTTTAAATGATAAATTTTATCAAGAGTCACCATCTATGGCCAAAAGGTAATATTTGCCATCTGCAAATTTTTCTTTAAGCTTGAACCACTCAAAATATACTTTTTGGTAAACTGCGTTTTAAGAGATGAGATACCAAATGCAAATGTTGGTACTGTTATATAAGTACCAACAGGATTCATTAATTCATAAAAGGGTAGAGCTAATATAACTCCCAACATGTAATTATTACATGCAAACAATTTTCACATGAGCCTACATAAACTTATTGTCTTTAAGAACTTCATCTCTAAGAAAAGACTTTGTGACTATAGAAAATTTAAAGAAACTTAACACTGTCACTTGAACGAAGAACAATAAGGATGTTCAATCACAACTCAGATGGTAGGTGATGAGAATGGCATGGGATATGAAGACGATCTGTAAATCCTGCATGCAGAGACTTCCAGAAAGGACCAGGACAGACGTGATTCACATACCCAATCAATCATGACTCTGAGGCTATGTAAATTGATGTCAGCATCGAGTATGCCTAAATATTTCTCCAAATTCCAGAAAATGTTATGAACTGTCAAAACTATTTGTTGAGAAAAACAAATTTAGAGAAAAAAATTGCAAGAACAACTAAAATTTTTTTCTTTAAAATATATGAGTCACATCTTAGCAACATATTTAAATATATATAAGCTTTATTCACATTCACTATCCATAAAAAGGCAAAATTTTCAAATAATTTCTTCTGTAGACTTATTTCCTTCACCTTCATCTTATCAAGGAGCTATGCTATCGGGTTCTGATGGCACACATTTATTTTTGCCTTATTCACATTTCTATTCTTTTTTTTAGTGGAGCTTAAATTTTTTATTATTATATTACATATTTTTATTATTATATTATGAAGTATAGTTGACATAAAATGTTATATTACTTTCAGGCGTACAACATAAGGATGAATTCAACAATTCTATACATTACTCAGTGCTCTCACCGTAAGTGTAGTCACCAAACAACATTATTATAATATTACTGACTATATTCCCTATGCTGTACTTTCCATTTTCATGACTTATTTATTTTAGGACTTCTTAATCCACATTTCTATTCTTAAAGCTCTCTTTTATTTGCAACTATGTAGCTTGCCCAGAGATCTTAGGACATCCTTGTTTGTTAGACTATGCGTTTCAAGTTCAAATACACTAGGGCAAATGCAAACACGTTTTTATTTGCTAAAGGGCGAAAAGGAGAAGAGAAATTCTTTACTCAAAAAAAAAAAAAGAATGATTAGATGTGGGCATTGAAATGCAAAATTAAACATTGTTAGTTAATTTGCTGCTTCTTTTTCCCATTTGAGGCCTTCAACCTTGATAGAAATAGTCACCAAGTAGCCTTAGAGTGTTCATAAATACTATGGATATGTTATTTCAGGAATAAAAACGTAAAATTCAAAAAAAAAAAATCCTCAATCCTATATTGGTTGAGACCTAATGGTAAATGAATCATTTCCCCTTACACTTCTTCATGTACAGTCTTTCCGTGGGGAGGTCATCTTACCACTATTTCATATGCTCAAGCTCCATTTTAGCTTCTCTTTGTCCTCCCTTTATTTGTATGCCAACTACTTTCCTTCAGCTTTTACTTTGTCTAGATACCACATTTACCCCAAACTCCTCTCCTGGCCTGCTAATTATAGGTGAGTGTGATGGCATAGAAATAGGGTCACTCCTATTTTCAAATTTGGAGTATAAGCCTGAGGTTCCCCAACACATATTTTTTAATGAATTTTTACCAGTGTAGGTTATTGAATTTGGACTTACCCTTCACTTTCAAACATGTACTTTGTAGTTTATTGATCTATATTTTCCTGAAACAACATGGGAGCTATCTTTCATGTGAGGGCAAAGTATCAGGCCTTTCATAAGAAAGAAAAGATGACGTCCCATGGCATATGCCATGGAGATAGCTGAAATCCCAAGTTTTCATCTAGAAACACGGCTGATATTGCTAAAATCGGGATTCCAAAGCAGTATGGAATGTGGACACCAGCCAAAATAAGACTATATATATATATATACACACACACATATATTGCATATTATTATGCTATATATATTATATATAATAAGGATATATAGTTGACCCTTGAACAATGTGGTGGTTAGAGGTGCCAACCCCCCATGCAGTCAAAAATCTAACTATAACTTTTTTTTAAGATTTTATTTATTTGAGAGAGAGAGACAGGTAATGACAGAGACCGCAAGAGAGAGCACAAGTGAAGAGGAGAGGGAGAAGCAGGCTTCTGCCGAGCAGGGAGCCTGACGTGGGCTCGATCCCAGGACCCTGGGATCGTGACTTGAGCGGAAGGCAGACACTTAACTAACTGAGCCACTTGGCGCCCCCTAACTATAACTTTTGAGTCCCCAAAAACTTCACTACTAATAGCCTGTTGACCTGAAACCTTACTGATAACATAAACAATTAACACATATTTGTATGCTATATGTATTTTATACTGTCTTCTTACAATAAAACAAGCTAGGAAAAGAAAATGTTATTAAAAAAATCATAAGGCAGAGAAAATACATTTATAGTACTGTATTTATTGAAAAAAATCTGTATATAAGTGGACTCATGCACTTCAAAATTGTATTGTTCAAGGATCAACTGTATTTTATATAAACTGGGAGAACTGTCTACGGCCATACCACCTTGAACGTGCCCGATCTTGTCTTCACTACTTTTAAAAATGCTTAAAAGTTACAGAATTGGGAAGTTATATGACTTCAGTATGCAGAGCTACTAATCTGGCCCTCTAGTCTCAAGATACAGCCGCAGAACGGGGGTAGTTATTCTACAGTTAGACATCATTCTTTGAGGCAGCAAACCTGATAGGAAAGAAGAAATGTTACTGATGACCATGGTCAACAAATGTTTATGTGTCCAGAGCTTTGCTGGGTCTGTGGCTCAAAATAAAGGGTCTGTAGTCTTGGGCAGTGGGAGATGATATGCTTAAAGCAAGCCTATAGCCACCCCCACACTGATTGTACCACAATGGTAACTCCAAATGTTCTAGACAGGAGGGGCTCAGACATGGTAACCTGGATGAAAAGGAAGTGAGGAGACTAGGGCTCATCTTGAAGCTATGTGTGTGCCAAACGTGATTTTTGCATGGGTATTTTTCCTGGTATTACTTTTAGTTCTCACAACACCATTATAGGTAGGTGTTATTATTGTCTTTATTTTTAAATAGGGAAACTAAGGCACAGAGAGGCTATGCGACCGATCCAGCATCACACAGGTAATGATGGAGTTGGGATTCCGATCCAGGAAGTCTGACTCAAGAGTCCACAGGCTGTGGACAGCAAGACTATAAGTAACTGTCTGGAACAACATATTGATGGATTTTTCTTTTGAAGATTTTATTTATTTATTTGACAGAGAGAGAGATAGGGGGAGCTGGAACACAAGCAGGGGGAGTGGGAGAGGGAGAAGCAGGCTTCCCGCTGAGCAGGGAGCCCGATGTGGGGCTCGATCCCAGGACCCTGGGATCATGACCTGAGCCAAAGGCAGACTTAACCGACTGAGCCACCCAGGCACCCCCATACTGATGGATTTTTTAAAGTGGTGGGTGGGAGGGACAGAGGAAGAAGATGAGCAATATCACAGAAAGATCAATATCTTTAGGTCTTGGGGAAGGTGGAATCCTTTCTATTCTGCCCTAAAGAAAAGCCATCTGGGAAACAATACTTAGCGTAAACAGCTTTTTTATTTTGGCTCTTGGCACTTCTGGTTAAGGAAGAGGAGGAACCCAGGGTTTAGGGAACTTGAGAGTAGCAGTTCTCACATCAGTCATGGAGGCTCTTGGAAATCTGATGAAAGCATTCAGTCCTCTTCTCCAAAAGAGGACTTACACATACCATTTTCAGATACAATTTTAAAGTTTTACAAACTCCCTGAAGCCCACTTTTATCAAGGTCCCACCTTCAGAACCTCTGCCTCGGAATAGCAGACTCGCAGTTATAATCCGTTTTTACCACACCATCCTGACTGTAGTTTTCGGCATTTTTCCATATGCCGTTCACACCGTGTGACCCAGAGCTATGGTGTCCAGTTGGAGAAGAAAGTAGAAGTATTATATGTATTACATTACATGCTGGCTTCGAGCTAAAATGGATTGTTTTTTGGGTTTTTTTGCAAATTTTTTTTAAAGATTTTATTTATTTATTTGACAGGGAGAGAGAGAGCACAAGCAGTGGGAGAGGGAGAGGGAGAAGCAGGCTTCCCGCGGAGCAGGAATCCCGATGCAGGGCTCGATTCCAGGACCCTGGGATCATGACCTGAGCCGAAGGCAGACGCTTAACGACTGAGCCACCCAGGCGCCCCTAAAATGAATTGGTTTTAGTAATTTTGTTTTTTAGAGAGAGAGCGAGAGCACGCGAGAGCATACGTGGTGAGGGGAGGGGCAGAGGGAGAAGGAGAGAGAGAACCCCAAGCACGTTCCAGGCCCAGCATTCATCCCAATGTGGGGCTAGATCTCACCACCCTGAGATCATGACCTGAGCTGAAATCACGAGGTGGATGCCTAACCAACTGAGCCACCTAGGTGCCCCTGTTTTTAGTAAATTTTTTTTTTTTTTTTTTTTTTTTTTTAAGATTTTATTTATTTATTTGACAGAGAGAGACACAGCGAGAGAGGGAACACAAGCAGGGGGAGTGGGAGAGGGAGAAGCAGGCTCCCCGCAGAGCAGGGAGCCCGATGCGGGACTCGATCCCAGGACCCTGGGATCATGACCTGAGCCGAAGGCAGTCGCTTAACCAACTGAGCCACCCAGGCGCCCCAGTTTTTAGTAAATTTTTTAAAAGCATTCATTCAGTGACTACATTTCAGAATTGTTCACATGTATTAAATTAGCAATCATTACTTGTGACAATTTTCATTAAAGTTTTTTAATAATTTCGGATATCCTCAACATAATAATTGGTCCATAGTCTACCATGATTTGGGCATGTCTATGAAGAAGGAATGATTGTAGTGAGGCCCAAACAAAGGAGAAAGTGAACCTTTTTGTTTCTAACATTTGGGCAAAACTTTCCATCCTAGGCCATGCCACAGTCTCTAACTTGTCTGTTACTTTCCTGCTATCCTCTCGCCCAACTAGTAATAGTGGTTTTCAAAAACATACCTGACCGCTTAGCACTTCCCACTACTTAGAACTTCCCATCACTAACCATAAACTTCATAAACTTCCCCCTGCTGGTCCCTTCCATCTGCTCTCAAGCCTCCACTCTTTTCCCCTCTCTAAGCTTCCCTTAGATCTTTGAACAGAGTACACTCTCTCACCTCTGCCTCTTGGCACATAGCACTCCCTCACAAAGAACACTGTCCCCTCCTTATCCCTGATCCTTCATCCCTACCCAGTGGCTATTCATCCTTCAGGTGTCAGCTCAACTGTCTCTTCCTTACAGAGGTGTTTTTCCCTAACCCAGATTTAGGTAGAAACCTCTCATCCCCCACCCCCAACATATAATCTTTTTTTTTTTAATTCAGTTAATCAACATATAGTGTATTATTAGTTTCAGAGGTAGAGTTTAGTGATTCATCAGTTGCATATAATACCCAGTGCTCATCACATCCCGTGCCCTCCTTAATGCCCATCACCCAGTTACCCCATGCCCCCACCCACCACCCCTCCAGCAACCCTCAGTTTGTTCCCTATGGTTAAGAGTCTCTTATGGGTTCTCAACGTATAGTCTTAGAGCCCCTTGTTCTCTTCTTCTTATTGTCATCACATTTGACTATAATTGCTTGTTCAATGTCTACCTGCACGTTTGTAAATTTTGGAAGACTGGGAATCAATTCCATATTAAGTTCAATCTTCTTCATTTCCCAGTGCCTGACACCTAATAAACACTTGATGAATCTTTATTGAATAATAAATAAAGAGCAATAATAAATGGATAAATGAATAAAAGCAATAAATGTCAAGGGTAATATGAACAAGTAGGAAGTGTTATTTTGAAGTCTGAGAATTAATATCCAGTAATTTAACTGTGACTTTCTCATTTGTTATATTTTACACAAATCTATTTTTCACTGGCAAAATTCTGGCAGAAAGGGATTTTTTTTTCCTGTAAGAAATCTTTTGTTTTCCTAGGTATGAATAGATTTCCTTGCTTGCCCCAAAACATCATAAGATAGCTGGATCATAGTACATTAATTACATTCATGAAAAAACTTGATATTCAGCTGGTTTAAAGAATGTTTTTACAAACTGTTAGAAATTTAGAACAAGTCCTGTGTTCTTTCATCTAAAGGACATTTCCTTATGAAATGATTTTAATTTTTAATTCTTGTATGGTAGTGAAAAAGAGAAGTGACCTTGAAGAAGACCTAAATGCTAGTTCCAACCCTTCCATTTGCTTGATCATGTAATGCCTTAGGCATCCATTTCATCTTGGAAATAGAGGAGTTGGCTTCTAAGATGCCTCCTATCACTGCCATGAACTGCAGGGAAGTAAAAATTCAAAGTAAATTAAAAAAAACTATATATATAGTGTTGTTTTATTGTCAGGGATGAACACAGCTATTGTCCATTTATATGAAAATTTCTAAAATATCCGACTGTAATAAGTATTAAAATAAAGACATGTTGGAGATGATGTCAGCTGGGTAAATCACATTGTGGTTCCCTTCTCCACACACAAAAAATTTCCTTCCCCTTGTATGGGAAATGAAAGAAAATAGGTTTCAAAGGCAGTGAGGGCTGAAAACAAAATGTATTCATTCCTTCATTCCAAAGGAAAAAAATCCATTGAGCATTTTCTGAGCACCAGTCCCCATTCTAGGCCCTGAGATCAGCCCGCACGGCACCAGGATGTAAGCTCCATGGGATAACATGTTCGCAGTGTGTTCCTAGCATGGACACAATGCTCCATTAATGTTTGCTAAATGGACAGAAAAGGAGGAAAGAAGGAAGAAGGACTCTGTTCAGGTACTGGAACTCACACACTCCTCTGAACTGACTCCCAGTGCTAAAGAATCCCCCCAGTTTTTCCACCAACAAGCTACATCTGTAGAGAAAAACCTTCTTTCAAGTCATAGTCTGGGATCTATGAATAATAGAGATGTCTCTATTCCTGGGAACTTTGGGCATATTTAAACACCCTAGAAAAAAGCACATTAGAAACAGCTCTTCATAGAACACTTCTCCATAATAAGATTTCTGCTCTCTTTGCTTCTACCTCACTAAACTACAGAGAGGAAGACTGCTTTGTTCTCTCACATTCCTTCCTGCATTTCTATATAAGAAAGATTGATTTTCACTTTTGATTTCAAGATTTTATGAATTTTATAAAAAAGATTTAATTAATTTTGTGAATATATACACATGAGAACTCTGAACACTTAGCATAAGGTGAAAATCAGAACAGATGCCAAATATAATTCCTCTAAGTTTGAAATACTCTCATTCTTCTTAATAGGAGCTTGACATAATGCCTTCTGCGCAGCTACTAAGTTAAAACTGTAATTCCAACCTCGTTGCGAATTATTAGCAATATTATTAAGTATTTCATATAATCTTTAACAGTGCACAGCTTAAAGTTTGTCATTGGTCCCGATTGCATATGGTTCTCCTTAAAATAAAGCTGTTGAGAGAAATTGTAAAACCAAAAAAGGAATTAATAGCTTTTTATTCCTGTGTCGTCATAACCTGCATTTCAAATTTTAGCTTAAATGCACATTCCCTGGCAACGACTAATATTTTCAACATTCTCTCCCTCCAACACACAGCCACATCTAAGTTATCATTGCCTGTTGAAATAGACAAGGTGGAATGTAACTGAAACTTCTATTCAGCTTGAATACTTTCCTTACTCCCTGTCAATTCATTCGCACTAGAGTCACTTCTGAAATCCTAATCCACATTATTCAGCAGTCTGGCAAATAGCCACCTTCCAGGGTAGTACAAACCTTTATTGGTTACTTCCCAAGCGACTTCAAAAAGCAGTAAATCCTCCACAGGAAGTTCTTCAACTTCCCACTGAGGAAGCCCACTCAGGGATGTTACAGATAGAGATCGGCCTCGGAGCATTCTTTTTCCAGTCGTCTGAAACTTTTTTGAATCCTTTTTTCAATAAACTGTGATCCCAGGAGCGCTGTGCTGACAGCTGCCCAGGCTCAGGGTGGAAGATCTCAGGCTTGGGGAGTTTCTCATAGGTATAAACCAGTCAAATGAAATCTCAAGTGCTTCCCAGAGAACTCTCAGTTTAAGGAGGAATTTTTGGCTCCTCTTTGCAGTCTTTCTGGGCAAGTCCAGTGAGGACAGTATCTCCAATCAGTATTGACCTGACCAACTCAATCACACATAAAATCTTCGGGTTCGGGGCTTAGGCAAGCACCCCTTCAGATGGTGGAATCCTCATAGGCTGAGCATGACACAAATCCAGACCTTTAGCCCTTGTCCTTTTGACCAAACTCCTAGACTCCTACAGTCATCAGTGCTTATTTCATCACTTTCAAAGTGATCCAAGATTAGCAATTCCCCTTATTAAGTTTGCAGACCACTTTAGATTACATGAAGAATTCACTGGGACCGTTTCTATGCTTTAAATCCTTTTAGATTTCCTAAGTATGCTTTTGATTCCTGTTTCTAGAACATCAAAAATAATTATTCTTAGTTATTATAGTCTACATTTATAATCTAAATTTAAATGTTAGGCATAGATCTTGGCTCCCCTCCTCTTAATTACTTTTCTTAAAAATTTCCCTATGAAAAAGTATAAATCCCAGTGTGTCTTTGGATATAACATACAAAGAATGTAATTTTCTCTGATCAATGATAATTAAAAAGTAAAAAACTGTTTTCAAAAGTTTAATTAGATCACCTGAGGATTGTTTCACTCACTCCCACTCTCATTACTCTGACTTTTTGAAATTCCTGGTCCTCAATTCTCCTTTGAGTTTTTTGCCTCAAGTACCAGCAGTCTTAAGGAGACATCATCTCCTAATGACCCTTCAAAGTAGACTTATGTAACTCTTTTGATCCTATAATTCCTAACATGAGGACACCTTTAGCAGTTCTTTTCAATAGTGAATGCTATTTTCAAAATTGCTCCTTCAGTCAAGGAGAGTGAAATAAATGGAACCATATGAAATATGTCCATGGAATATATCTTCATCTATCCATGATATGTGCGTGAATCTTCTTCTTTCCTGTGTGTGTGTGTGTTTGTGTTGTGTGTGTGTGAGAGAGAGAGAGACAGAGAGCGAGAGAGAGAGAGAAAGACAAAAAGAGAAAGGCAGTAATTTCTGCAATAAGATTTGGAGAGGAATCAGAAAAAGTTCTTTGTTTTCCATATTCCTGAATATTCTCCTCTAAGATTTGTGCTAAAAACACAAACTGATGAGCTGGGAGTAGAAAACGAATAATCATTCAGACAGAAAGGCAAGTGAAGTTTCTCCAAGATGGGAGAAGGACTCTCCAAAGTCCTGATCCCTAATTTCACACTCACACTAACATTTCATCATTCAGTGAAAATGAGGTGAGAGGACAATTAGGGAAAAATGAAGACCTGTATTTGGGTTCCTTGGTAGTTCCAGCAGAGGTCACTAGATACATTTAGAAAACCACACATTTGCTTTGACAGTGTGTAATCTTCTTGTAAATCTTTAGGATATTGAAGGCTTGATCAGCCTGCACCTGCATACCCAGAAAGGGTCAGTTAATGTCTTTACAGGATGCCTACTATGTGCTGCTACTCTGGAAATGGAAGGTATTTTAATAAACAGTACACATGTGCTTGCCTTCATGTGGACAGGTAGACATTCATCATGGAAACAAATGAACAACATTATTTCAGGTGCTGCTGTCTCTAAAGAAGGAAAGCTGTGGAGTGATGGTGCCATTCAGTGGGATGAGGCCCTTAGCTGGGGAGTGCTGGGAAGATCATTCTGAGAAAATGATATTTGAATTGAGACACAAAGGATGAGTAAGAGGCAACCCTGAAGGTCTGAAGGAAAAGGGAACCCTGGCACCTCGTTGGTGGGAATGCAAACTGGTGTAGCCACTATGGAAACCAGTACGGAGGTTCTCCAAAAATTAAAAATAGTACTACAATGTGATCCAGCAATTCTACTTCTGGGTATTTAGCTGAAGGAAATGAAAGCACTAACTCAAAAAGACATCCGCATTCCTGTGTTCCTTGTGTTATTATTTGCAACAGCCAAGACTAAAGATGTGTTTGCAGGATTTGGATGTGCATCATATGAACATTTAACTTCTGGAAATGCAATTATATCTGCTAGACAAAGAGAAAATAGAAAGAACAAGAGAGAACAATTTAAATAGCTTGTGAGAATCACGTAATGAGGAGAGAGGATGCTCCAGATGAGGAGGAACTAAGGAATGGCATTTCCTACATTTGGTCTTTCCATAGTCTGAGTATCTCACTGGCTGAATGTGCCTGAGGGTTTTGTTTTAAGATTTTATTTATTTATTTATTTGAGGGAGAGAGAGAGAGAACGAGCAGGGGGGAGGGGCAGAGGGAGAGAGACAGAGCAGACTCCCTGCTGAGCAGGGAGCCCAACAGGGGCTCCATCCCAGGACCCGGAGATCAGAGATCATGACCTGAGCCGAAAGCAATTGCTTAACCAACTGAGCCACCCAGGCACCCCTGTACCTGAGGTTTGACATACATCTTCCCATTTGTATGATGGCTATAGATCCTAACCTCAGTAAAAATGTCTCCAATATACTCTATGCAAAAGATGGTAACAACTTGCACTACAGTATAGCAGTGAGATTAGAAAGATGTGGATAACAGGATATGTGTAAAAATTGGCACAACTTGGAATTGATGGGATATGGAAAAGTAAGGGTAGTTAGGTATCTACCAAACAAGGCATGTGTCATGTAATGTACTAATGTAAGAAATATGGGGGGAAGAATGGATTTATTTGAGAGATTAGATAATGACTTCAATTTTAGACATGGTGAGTTTGGGATACCAGCCAGATGCAGACAGTTATAGATATTTCTGCCTACTCAGAAGCTCAGATGAGAAGTCTGGGACGTGGCTGGTAACTGAAGCCACGAGAGTAGTGAGATCTCAGGAAGGGGGAGTGCAGAGTGGGTAGGATAGACTGACCTGGAAGGATAGGGTAGATTACTCCAGAAAGTTCAACTTTTATGGTAAAGACAACAATATGGTGCTCTGGGTTTTACTTGGTATGTACAATACTGCACAAAAGGTACAATTATTTCTCAAAAAGGGAGATTTCACATAAAATTTTGGATCTCTATTTTTTTCTTGAAAACAAAATCTAAATCCTGTTTTCCTACCTTCATGGCAACAATCTGCTGGAACTGGGTAAGTCTATCCTTTTAGCTGCCACATCGTCACCTTAGCCTCATGGGGCTACTTCACTCATTTACACTGTCACATCTCTAGAAACACAGGAATCTTAACTTTTGATTTAATTTTTTTTCTGTGCACATTTGGAGTTGCTGATCAGGAAGTGGCCAAAGAAGGAGGAAATAATTATCCTTAAATTAACATTGTATCTAAATGGACAATTCCCACCCATCATCTTGAAGATAATGAGAGGGATTTTTGACCTCGACTGTTGAGATTATTTTAGAGGCAGCATAAATGGAGTCTTACTTAGACACCCAGGGCTTGTTTTTGGAATAGACCTTTTGCTTTACTGGACCCTCTTCTCTGGTTTTATTTTTAAACTCTTCTTTCACTGAGTAGAGTATAAAAGATGAAGAGATTCAGAAGAGTAGCTTTAGCCCCTGTGAATAAAGAGGGAAAGAAAGAGTTTTTGAGCAAGAGAGAAGGCAGAGATACCTCTCTGGAAAGAGTTAGTCACCCTGAGAAGTTCAATCACAATTTATAATATTTTTGTCAATGCACACCCGTCCTCCATTTTCCCATTAAATTTTCAAAAAAATCAATATGACCATTTTTTTTTAATCAGTTAAGGGACACCTGAGTGGTTCAGTCAGTTAAGCGTCTGCCTTTGGCCATGATCCCAGGGTCCAGCAATCTAGTCCCACATCAGGCTCCCTGCTCAGCGGAGAGTCTGCTTCTCCCTCTCCCTGCCCCCCTCCCCCCTGCTCATGCACATGCACTCTTTCTCAAGTAAATAAATAAAAAATCTTTTTAAAAAATCAGTTAAAAGGGTACCTGGGTGGCTCAGTTGGTTAAGCGACTGCCTTCAGCTCAGGTCATGATCCTGGAGTCCCGGGATCGAGTCCCACGTCAGGCTCCCTGCTCAGCAGGGAGTCTGCTTCTCCCTCTGACCTTCCCCCTCTCATGTGCTCTCTCTCTCTCTCTCTCATTCTCGCTCTCTCAAATAAATAAATAAATAAATAAAATCTAAAAAAAAATCAGTTAAAAAATTAGAATCTGGAGGAAAGGTATGTGAAGATGAGAGCAAAATCTGCTAAGAGCAGAAGCCAAATGCTGTTATGTTTACCAGAAGGTTGTTAGAGAGGTAGCATAGTGAAATGGTCAAAAATAAGGGCTTTGGAGTTGGGCTCATCTCAGTGAGAACTGGACTGTTTACTAGCCTGTAACATAGGGGTGATAGATGTTGTAAGGGTCAGAGAAGAGAATGTATGCATGTCCCTCCTACATTGTCTTCCAAATCCTATTTCTCAGATTGCAATGTAGACGCGTGAGGTTGACTAATGGCAGCCCAGCTCAAGCTGCTAACCTGCCTCCTGCCTTGAGGGTCTCAACTCGTGAGACCATTAACTGGCTGTCATTAAACTCCCTTTTCTCCAACCTCTACTTAGATGCAGGGACACTGGTGTAGAGGTTAGAATATCAAATACAGGCTTACTTTTCTGATATTCTCCCCCACATTCAGGATGTAAAATATTGCCAAATATTTTTACATAGTGATTTTTATATTAAACACAGGTATACTATGCAGAAGCTTATCAGACAAATATATATATAAATGCCAAATATGACAAGGATAACAAGTCCAATAATGTATGTGGTGGTGTTAAACTATTTTCCTTCCAAAACGGTGTCATGGAAATAGTTGATTTAGTAATATTTGCTTGGTTTTTTTTTTAATATAATGAAAAAAACTCTAATGGTAGTAGGGCCATTGCACTAAATCAGTTTCTGTCGGGTTACCGTCAATGTTCGCCAGATGTCCCCTTGAGATCATGTATTTTTCTATTTAGTTCCATCAACTTCATAAATCTCCATTTTTGTGTGCAGAAGGCATAAAAGCTTGTTCTCATTCAACACAAATCTGGATATGATGGTGTCAGAACGAAAGGAAAAGTCATAATAGCCCTAGACATCAGCTAGCCCTATTATAAACACAATTCTGTGGGAAAACCAGATTGTAAAATTTAAGATTAGATTATATTCACATTTAAAGTTTTTTAAAAATCGGATCTTTCACAAGACCAATTTAGGGTTATTTCTCAAGTGCCACACTTGGAAGAGAAGTATTACTTTGTGTAGTTGGCAATTCCACTTGCACTTTGACTAGAAAACAAGTTGTTCTTGTAACACTGAAGTGGCTCCCAAGGAATGCCATTAATAATATGAACAATTTTTTAAAGATTTTATTTATTTATTTATTCATTGAGAGAGAGAGAGAGTGCGCGCGTGGAGTGGGGGAAGGCAGAGGAAGAGGGAGAGAGAATCTCAAGCAGTCTCCACGCTG